ATTATTAAAAGGCAAGGCACTCAAATATCGCTCACCAAAGATCGCTCACCAAATTTACTCGATAGCCCTAATCAAAAAAATTATTATGAATTTAATTTATAGGCCTTTACGGAGGTCGATATTAAAAGTTCTAGATATATTAAGATAAGGGTCTAGGTAAGGCTAAGTGCTTAATATACTTTCAAATTTCATAAATAGTATTATTATTCTTTATTTTAATAAGTATTAATACTTTATATAATAGGAACGCTATATATATATATAAAGTATATATATGCGAAGTATATATATAATAGCGATATTAATAGAGTATATAATAGCGATAGTATTAAAGTATTAATTATAGCGTAAGAGAATAGAGAGAGAGTATAAAGACTTTTAGTATATAAGTCTTATTTATATAATATAATAGATAGAAATCTTCTTACTATTCTTTATCTTAATTATCTTTTATTAATATATCTAATATTTAAAGTATTAATTATAATAATAGAATTTAAATTTAAGTATTTACTTTAATTAAGACTAGAATTACTATTAAAATTATTACTATAATTATCGAAATATCTTATTAAACTATTAATTAACTTTAGAAATAAGCTCGTAATAGAGAATATAATCTTACTATATTTAAAAAACTCTTAATATTATATATTATAGATAAGTCTAGATTCAAATATTTCTTAATTATTATATTTATACTTAAAAGTGTAATTCTAGATATTATATAAAAAAACCGCTATAGTCGTAAAAAGACTTCTTTTATATTTACTATTAAATAAGAAATCTTATCTATAATAATATTATAAATACTTAAACGTAATAATTTTTAAATCTATAAAATTACTAAAAAACTATCTCTTATAAAAACTATAATAGAAGTATATTATTAATTCGCTTTATAATATAAAAACTAAATTATAGAAAATTAAAAAAGAGTAATTTAAAGTAATAAGACTAGTGTAATCTTAAATTCTTAATAGAAAAGAATGCGTATATAGTATTAATCTAACGAGATCTTCGTTAAATCTAATATATAATATCGTTTTATAAATACTATAAAGTTTATATTCTAGAGATATTTTTTTTATAATAAAAAGAGTTCTTATTATATCTAAAGAGTCGAGATCGCTATTAAAAAAAAGAAGTATATCGAGAATCTCGCTAAAATTAATATTACTCTAAAATTTAATGCTAAATAAGCTTAAAAACTTAAGATCAATATAAGATATATAGATCTTCGAAATTCTTCTAGTAAAAAGCTTATATAGAACTTTACTACTAAGATTAAAAAAGTTACTATTAAGAAAAAAAAGAGGGGAATTAATTAATATCGCTATTAGAAAAAGATATATATATCTATATTTCTTATATTTCTTCTTCTTATTAGATATAAGTTCTTATTTTAAAATTTCTAAAGTTCGCTTAAAAGTGTAAATAAAAAAGACTTATTACTTAATATAATAATTATAGAAGATAAAGCTTTAATATACATATTAAAGTATTAAGAAATAATATTTATATTATTTAATATCGTTAGAATAATCTAATATAATAACTCTTTAAATTTTAATATAATTAAGTCTTATTAATTATAAATAAAATATTATACTATTTAAAAAGATATATTAAGAACTTATAAAAAAGCTAAAAGATAATAATTATATTATTAAAATTACGAGTTTACTTAAAAGAGAATTTAAAAGTAGATAAAGCGAATATCGAGATATATTATAAAAATAATATATCTTAAAAATAATAACGAGTATAAAGAAGATTATAAAAAAGATAATATATAATTATATAACTTCGTTAAGCGAGCTAATAAGTATATACGTAATTATATAAAGTATTATCATTAAATAAATATAATTATACAGAAGTGCCAAGAATACCAAGAGTATCAAGTATTTTAGCGCTGTCCAGGACTTTTGGTACTGACCTCCGTACTCATATACTGATAAAAAGTTAATTGAAAGTTAATTGAAAGTTATAACAAATATCGATTCAATGATATAGTCACGTGACATACCCTAATCGTATATTTCCTCTAAGGTACCTTCGTCAAGACGGCTTTCTTAGCTAAACAGCCGGATAACATAGATAACTTCCAAATCAACTTGCTCTCATCTATCTTTCGTGCCTGCTAAGGAAGTATCTTGGTAAGACCCTTAGCTTTATACTATAAGTAGCTACTTCTGAGCAGAGAAATAATCATCTCTATTACACAGTATAGTACAATACCATATCCATGTTGCCGCTACACCTACTAGGTATGCTTCGTCTTTGAGACCTTCACCTCGGGGTAAAAGATGCATTTTGAACACGGCTTTCATTCAACATTCAACGACGACGGTGGTCAGAGCTTGCTCACAAACACGGACCCGGCTGCTCAATGAAGAAGGCCGAGGGTTGCAGCTCATTTCATGCGTGGCCATTAAAAGAGCGCACGAGGTCTTCGAGGTGCTTGAGCGTCAACACGAGGCTGATGAAAGATTCCTCATCATGCCTGATCCTTGCATTGCAGCGTACGGAGTTAGCGGCAGGGGCACCAACGGCATGTCTCTCAACGCTTACCCCAACCTCAAACAGGGTGAAATCCTGGGGAGACCCGAACCCTAAACTTATTCCGGTCCTTAGCCTGCTATGCTCCTCTTTTCCTTGCTCCGTTAACTTCTCTCCTTTCCACGCGCGAGATGTCCGTAAAAGTCGCACGGTAGAAGGTAGGAACGGCAAAATCTCGCTTCCAAGCTCGCCCGGTCCAATAACACGGATCTCGTTCTGAAGATTACGGAATCTTAAGGTCCGCATGCAGGTCCGTTGAGGTATTTCTAGATGATCTCTTATTTACACCATAAAGCCGCCGTTGAGAAGGTATTGCAGCCGCAGTATAAGAAGGCAACATCCCTCAAACATTCAGACTTCTCAATGTTCACACCTGTCATTTCTCTCTTTTTCCTAAAGTTGAAATACTATTGGTCTAAGAGGTTCTCTATTAATTATTATTCGACATTTGCCTTGACCCCTTCATCATGCTTCTGCTCTTCATCCTCATCACGTGCTTTGCTTTAGCTTCAACTCTCCCTGCGCAAGGTCGGTACGATGACTTCCAAAGGGCAATTTTTACATTGTCCAATAATCCGGATGGAAACAACATCCTTTCACTCGCTGTCTCCTATAATGGCACTCTGTCTTCGCCCGTCCTGACCCCGACTGGAGGCAAAGGTCTGCTGGGCTTAAATGTCGGCCCACCGTTCGGACCTGTTGGTACAACTGTCGGATCAGACGGCCTCTTCGGGCAAAACTCGGTCGTGGTTTCTGAGAACGTATGTCTCTGTCAATAGCATGCACATTATTCCCAGAATTACTAATGGTGGTATCTCATTGTGCAGTATCTTTTCACCGTCAATTCAGGCAGTCACACCCTGTCGATGTTCGTAATCTCCCCTTGGGCACCCCTCTATCCCAAGCTTGTTGGCAAGCCTGTCGATACACAAGGCGAGTTTCCACAGTCTGTGACCTACTCCGCGCAACTCAACACAGGTAATCCTCTCGATAGTCGTTCACCAAGACTCCCACTGATGTAACACTTTTCAGCCTGCGTCGTCAATGGTGGAGCCAAGAATGGAGTTGCATGCTTCACGGTTTCGATTGAAAACGGCCTTTCCCCAGTCGGCGGCCTTCGCCCGCTCAAAAACCTTCATACAAACACCCCGCCTAGCGGACCACCAGACTCAGCCTCCGAGATCCTCTTTAGCCCCAGCTCATCAGCTCTCTTCGTAACAATCAAGGGCAAACCCGGACCTCCTGCAGTCCCAGGTTACATTTACGCCTTCGGCGTCAACAACGGGCAGATATCCAGTGATGCGATCATATCATCCCCATCAGCACTTATCCTGGACTATAGCATAAACTTCCTTGGCTCCGAAACCTCGGCTCTTATAACGGATCCCACCTTTGGTGCCTCGATTGTCAACATCGCTTCCGACTTGACTGTTACGGAGACACACCACACCACCATTCCAAACCAGGGTGCTGTATGTTGGGCAGCCTATTCGCGCCACTATGGTACCGTGTACGTGGTGGATGCAAATCGTACAAATGTCACAGCCTTGGATCCTGTCAGCGGAGCAATCAAAGGCGTGATCCATTTTCAAGCTGATGCTCTTGGGGGTTATGATACCATCATCGACAGGCAGTGGATGTACATTCTGAGCGGCGCTAACAGTGTGGTGGTAATTGACCTTGAGGAGTCGGGGGGAACAGCTGTACAGCAACTTGGGATAGCACAGGAGGGGCCAGCGGGGCATTGGCAGGGTATGGCAGTCTATCCTGCACATCGGGACAGTTTTCTGTGGTAGGAAGGTTTGAGGTAGTACCTGGGCTGTTTGAGGAAGCGGGGGAATTAATCATCGTCGATTCAGGGTTCTGAGCGCATAGCTCATGACATCGTGCTGGCTACTAAGATAAGCAAAGATACCATCGACAAAAAAATTGCCTCTGACTGAGAGTCAAACACCTTCTCTATTACGAAGCTGGTGTTCAATCCTTCGAGAGCTTCACGGCCTCCCCCAGATTTGTATCTCCGAAGCACAGGTTACTAGCGAGGTTTATCAGTTCATGACCATCGTATGAGCTGGAGAGTACCCTGTCTCTGTGTCTGCATGCTAAGGTAATTGTTGAGCAAAAGGATGACATAATGGCATCCCAGGGCGTGAGATACCACGGGAATATTAAGGTAGGATCGTCATTTCTCAAGCCTGTGCCAAGTTCTGCTTAGTTGAGAAGCAGCCAGAGGCTAACATTGGAGTTCCCGAATATCGTATCCTCACCGCTAGAACGACAGATTTGGATTGGCCGACATTGGAACGATCCTTCGCCATCAATGTTAGGCAACTTGAATCCACGCAACTCGAGAACTCGAGAGACTCCAGCGTCTCTCTCCACCCACACGTTGGAAGTGGCCTTCGTCATTACCCTAACCACTCATGTCAGGCATCTTAGCCTGGTGATGTACCCGCGGCCTGTTTCCAGTATTGGCTTTTCACGAAAGGCATCTTTACGACTTCGGCCTTCCTCCTCTTTCCCCTGACTAAGACTTCGATCGGAGTGCCGGCCTTATGGAGGGGAGTTTTGACGTATCCCATTGCAATATTCTTTCCCAGTGTTGGACTAGGGCACCCACTCGTCACCCTTCCGACCACTTCCGCAGAAATTGGGCTTGCGGGATTCGTGATTTCTGCTCCCTCCCTTGCTGGTGCCCCTTCAACGATCAAGCCTACTCGCCTATGCTTCGGCGCTGAGCCTCCATCCTTAACAGGTCGCAGTTGCCTCAGTATCGTCTCATCCCCGTGGAATCCTCCATTTGCCCGCCGGTCTTTGTGCACAATCCAGCTCAAACCCGCTTCGACGGGCGTAGTCTTGTCGTCCAAATCATGCCCATAAAGACACATGCCTGCTTCTAGTCTGAGGCTGTCCCTAGCTCCTAAGCCTGCCAATCGTAATCGTTCGCGTCCACCACTCTCTAAGAGGTGAGTCGTAAATGCGACGGTGAGTGCGGGCGGTATCGAAATCTCGAACCCATCTTCGCCTGTGTAGCCCCCTCTAGAAATCAAGATTGGAGCGTCTGTGTCGGACGATTGCTTTGGGGAGAGATTGAGGGTGACATGTATGCACTGCCCGAAGTATAAAGCTTGGAGGTCCACATCCTCTACCCCAGCCGTCACGAGCGCTCGCTGCAAGATATCTGCGCTTAGCGGACCCTGCAGAGCTACGAGACCCCAGTCATTGAGTACCTCCCATTCCACGGTACCGTGGCTTGTATCACGGGATTCAATTTGTTCTTCGAGGTATGCCATATCATTAGCTTTGCACGCCGCATTGGTGACGAGATAGAACAGTTCAGGACCAAGGCGTGTTATGACGGTATCGTCGACTATACCTCCAGTAGCTGGGTGTAAGAGGCAGGAAAGGGTCGAATGGTCGGTCTGGAGGGAGGCTGTGGATGAAGGAGTAATCTTTTCGAGTAAAGGTGCAGCGCCTGGGCCAGACATACGGTGTTGTACCCTAGAGTAGGGAATGTCAATGTCACAATCAAGGAGGGAGCAGCATGAGACGGGAAAGCAGCCTACATGTGGCCCACGTCAAAGAGGCTGGCTTTTTCCCTAGTCCATTTATGGCTGTCTCCTACGCCGAGGTCGGAGTATTGTACTGGCATCGAATAGCCTCCAAATGGAACCATTTTACCCCCGTTTCTGACGTGGAGCTCGTGAAGGGCCGTGTGGTTGAGGCCTCCATCACTGGTTGAGGCACCGCTGGAAGCGTGTCTGCACTGAGGAGGTAGACCCGCGGGCTTTACTCGAAGAACTGGGCCATGGCGAAGAAGCCATGAGGCAACACCTGGTCTTGAAGTGGAAGCAGAAGCGTTCAGGGTAGCGTCAACATGCACGATAGCGGAAGTAGATATGCTTCTGAATAGTGCAGGCTTTCCGCCAAGTTCCAACGTTTTACTGGCCACTCCGCTGCCGGCTCTTACGCACTTAATCATCTTCATGTATTCAAGGCCGAGAGTTCTTCGTGAAGTGAGGCGAGATTGCACTCGTCCTCAATGCCGCATCATGCGTGGCTCAATTACAGTCTGGAGTTTTGAAAGGGGAGATGATGTCGGAGGTGGGGAAAGCTAGGTCAGCCGAACGAAAGGTTTTCTATGGAGCGGCAATTCTCTCAATGTGCATCTTTACGAGCCTGGATAGTGCATCCATAAGACCTCAATGGAAACGTACAGAGTTTTTGTCTATTTCAGTCGGCCCATTTCTCCTCAAATCAGATATAGGCCTGAGTTGAAGACATTTTATACGTGCATATTGCCCATAGATGTACATGAGAGCATCAGTCCTAAGCAAACGAATACAAAGAAGTCCTCTCATGTTCATTGCACAACTTCCCCTACAGTCCGTTACTGGCGCAAGTGAAAGGACCACCAACGACGAGGCCGTCTTTGTAATTGTTCACGATACTCTGGCACGTAGCCTAAACGGAGATTAGTATGTGTAAGCTTCAATACCAATGATGAAAATGCTCACATAGGTTCCACCAGTCAACATGAATAGACCGATACAAATGAGTATGACATTCAGAATAAAGCCAGAAATCCCTCGGATACCTCGTTTCGAAAGCCACCCAGGGCCATAGTCGGCGCGCCGCATCCTCATGTAGGCAGTGCCCCAGAAGATGAAGCCGAAGAACGAGTCAAAGAGTGAGCTCATCAATGACAACAAGTCCGAAAAGAACGGAATGACCTCCGCGATGATGAAAGCGGCGATCCAAGTGCAAGCCAGGATACCGGCCCATGTCGCCCAGCCAACGACGGTATGGTTTCCCTTGTGGCGCGTACCCTCGAAGATCCTGAAGAAGACGAAGCGTGCAGACACAGAGGCGTAGAGGACACCCAAAAAGATCAAAGTTGGAATCATGAACGAAAATGACACCTTTTTGTACAACTCATTGCCAAGCGATCCAAAGGCGGGAGCTGTGTTGTATTGTGTCCCGGTGTAGACGTACACGATTGATGCGGTCAAAGAGAACACAATGATCTCGCAGATGGTGACGGCCCAAAGCGCCTTGGGAAAGTCCTTGGGTTCCTTCATCTCAGCTATGAAACTCGGTATCGTAATTTGACCAATGAAGGTGTAGCTGATGTTCAAAAAAGCATTCATTCCGCTGACGAAACCGGTCCCTGCAGCTGGAATGACCAAGACTATGGGGTTCCCAGTCATTAGGCCGTCTTTGCCGCCGTTTGGCGAATTGTAACCGTAGGGATGAGCTTCAATCCCGGCAAAGATGGCTGCTAAAAGAACAGAGACGAACGTGAAAAAAGCCGAAAGGGTCGCAAGCTTCGAAAGAGTGTCGAACGTCCTCGGAAGAGAGGAAAAGAAGGAAAGGACAGCCCAGATTGCGGAAAAGCCAACAGTGCATACTGCGCCACCACTCATGGTATTCAAATATTTGGCGCCAGTTAAGACGTGAAGACCCTAAAACTGTTAGCAAAGAACCAACGACGTCACTTCTCCCAAACCTGACCTGAATGAAGGTATTATTGAGCAGGAACATGGCGGCGGTAAAGTACCAGACCCATGTCCATCCAAAGTAAAGCATTTGGCCGACATCACAAACGTCTCGAATTTCGGGGTGACGAAGACAGAATTCCCTGGTACGAACATGAGCGCGAATCCTATGCCAGGCTGTTGGGCAGAAAAGAGACGTACCAAACAATCAAGGACGTGTACAGCACGGACATGGCAACAACCACCGTGACAATTAGACCCGGAACCAAACCCAAAACGGAGTAGGAGTAAGGGAATGACATGATAGCCAGACAGATATACTCCGAGAAGAGTAACGCAGCAGTCTGTCATCATTTGTTAGGATATAGCCCACTCGGTGACTCAAGGCAAAGAGCGCATATCAGGAAGTCTCTGCGTTGCTCGGATGTCTTTGCCGCGGCTCGTCATAAACGTTCCTCGTCCCTTGAGGAAAACAAGGTGATGGAAAAATATCAAATCACCTTTTGCCAGGAGCATGTTCTGTACTTTATGGAGTTGGTTGCCTCGAGCTCCAATTGTTTTCCCACGCCCAGCTGGGAGTCTTGATCAGACTCGCCGCCCATGACACCAGCTACCCTGCTCATCTTGCGACCTCCCTTCTCCTCATGACTTTCCGCGTCGTAGTACTGGCCCTCCTCCTTGGTGATGGAGTTGGGGTCAAGTTCGTGGGTAGTATTGTCGACATTGCGACCCTTCCTGCCTAACGCCATTTGATGCTGCCGATACTATGTATCAGGGGAGTGTAGTAGAAAGGTTTGCGTCCGTCGACCTCGCTGAGCATTAACCACAAAGGATGTAAGGATATATGGGGGTTGTCCCTAAGCACGGCTCGAGGAAATGTCGCTCGAGTACGGGCTGTTGATTGTGAAAAAAGATTCGCTGGTTGTTGCGAGGAAAAGCAGGTGAGAAGAAGAATATGTTAGATCAAGTCGTCAGCACAAGGCTTCAGTTGAATTTGGTAGGAGGAAGTTTTGGGGGTCTGGCGGGGTTGCCGATCCTGAGACCGCCATCTGGGCAGGGGACTGAGGCTAGCAAGTAGCAAGGCACGCTAAGCGGGAAAGGTGTTGGTTTAATAAGTAAGTAAGCATTAAGGTAAGCAAGCATCTCAATCCATCAGCACTGGGCGGAGGGTTTGTCTAGAAATGCACATGTTTGCGCCGCCTAAGTCTTCAATCTAAATTATCTAATGATTCTTCGACGTTCGAGACTCCACTTTGTTCCACTCTGCAGCCATGCTAGCTCCAAAAGGCTATGCCCCTCATCGCCTCGCAGCCACTGATAGATGAGACGAACTTTGACCAAGTCCGGGCCCCTGCAAGCGTATGAGCCTATAAAGCCTCCACGCTTCATGTAAGCTTAGCTAGACTTGGCCTAAAATTCGCCATTCCCCACGCTTTTTGGGTGACCGCGGGGTCTGTGATAACATCTAGCCGAAGACGTCAGAGTCAAAGACCAAGACTTGGAATCCCCGCGGAACCTCTTGGGAATCTCCCATCGTCGCATGGGTCGCTGTGCTGTGGGGAGCCTTTGAATCATGGTGGCATGGAGACTCGGAGAGCAAGAGAGGCTCTAGCAGTAAAATGCTTTGCATGTCCAACTGTCCAAATGATGCGAGCAGGAGGATGCCGCCAGAAATGAGCGAGCAGCAAGATCTTCAATAACCGAAAATTGTGCGAACACATACGCACTACAAATTCGGGTCTCGGCCTTCCATGTTGGCCAAGATCGCAGAAATCATTCTGATCCTGCCGGAGCTACCGACCCGACTGTTGTCGCCTTAAAAGGACAGATATACCTTTACTGACAGACGGCATTCCCATAACATCTGGCCGGCGTCGACTCGGAGCACCTGAACTACGTACCAGCTTGTTAGAAATGCCAGGTACCTGGGTATTACCTTCCACTACTTTGTTGACGCCGTGTTGGTGTTTCTAGTAATCTAGCGTCGGCTTTCAATCACTGGGCTAGTGTTGGAGATCGATAGATGAAACACACAACGGTAAGCTACTTATCTAATAGTCATGTACCTTACCTAATACCTTATGGTCAGATATCTTATCGAACCTATCAAGCCTTGATCTTTTGTCAGCAAGATTTAGCTGCCTACATTTCATCAGCCATTTGAGAATCATTCAAAGTTCACGAGATACCTCTGTTTCGAGTCGCTCCAACCACCAAAGGCGTCCTTGTTGCTGTGAATACCACTGTTGTCGTGGGGCATGGCCTATTGCAATGGTTCCCTAAATTCTCAGAGAAGGGAAAGGCTCTGCCAATCCGATTTTGAATGTTTGGTTGCGTTGCCATACAGTCGTCGAACAAAGGTCTTGTCCATGTTCGTTTTCTACCGTGGTCAATATCTTCAAAGCAAGCCCGGAGTGTCAGGCTGTATACGTCCTGGAACCTTTCGCCATCTCCTAAGGCAGCAATCATCGATAAAACCCGAAAAGAAATGGCCACTGTCCGTGGCTGTTCTGAATTGGTTTAGATTCAGTGTGGGAATGCTTTCTATAAGAGGGCTGCATTTGTGAAAGGAAGACGTTGTAAAGGGATTCGGCATGGGCTTATGGACGGTCTCAGACAATTCTAGTGCGTCTTCAACACATAGGATTGGCATTGAACTTTGAGACATTAGATTTCCGTACGCTCAATCAATGCGTAAGTCGCTGACCATCAATGATGCTGGGCCTAGAAGGCTAAGGCTCTGCGGGATTCAAGTAGATATAATAATTGAACAGTGCCCGTCGAGTGGCAGCTTTGAAAGCTGCAGACTTGCGCGTGAGAGTACATCTAGGAGGTGAAAATCATCTCCGATGAAGCATTAGAACCGAGACAACTAGGTCTTGTCAAGAGTATCGGCTTACGCCAGTATATTGTTCGTTATTGACCTCCCCACCTATCCAGCTTATCATAAACCATCCTTTGACACAACTCTTGGGTCATAAAGCATTGCGACTGTGTGCCCATCCAAATGCTTGTACACCACCATCAGATCTTCAGACCCTCTCTTCTATCGGGCAGACAGGGTTCAATAGCTCTGTGCTCCCATCGACTTTGTTGGCATGAGCACAAGGGCAATAGTAGAAACGAAAACGCCTGAACCCGCCAGGTAAAGCGGGCCGTTGACACTCTTCAAAAGCAAATCCGCCGCAATCAACGGTGAGACTATACTAAACAGCCGACCCCAAAAGCTAGCGAGCCCGGACGCGGTCCCTCTGATTGGTGCTGGAAATACTTCTGGTGTCCATCCGTAGAGGACAGCGTTGAACATGGATTGAAAAAAGTATTCCTACGCACATTACTAAGTCAGCGTTGTTACCTTAGGGCAATGGAACGAGTTCAAAAACATGTGTAGGAAGACAAAGGAGCACCTAGAACATATTTTGCAAGTCGACACTCAGGACCATATGGGAAGGTATCACTCTGAAATCTTACGTACCATTGCATTTAGTCCGATATTCGAAGCCTCGGTGTTGACCGTTGCGAAGAGGAACAGCGATATGCCCATAAGGGCCGAAGATCCTACCATAGCCTAGGTGGAAATTAGCATCTCCTCACCTCGGGCAAGTTTGAGCTAAGAAATGAGCACATGGCAAAGGAGGCGGTATTGCGATTCCACTACGGTACACACTTAACAGAAAGTCTCAGATACGTACCCATTTGCGACCAACTCGTGGGATCACGTACATCAGCGCACCTAGCATAACACCGGGTATGCCGCAGACATAAATGATAACGAAATTCCTATATGTCTCTGCGGTCGAAATGTCAATGGCGTTGTTCTTTTGAAGTAGAATGGTCGGCAGGAAAGACCCTGGATGTCTCATTAATTAGTGACAAAATCAACAGGACTTGAAGCTCGTCAAGACCGGCTACTCACCCGCAATACTGAATCCCCAATAATCAAAGATATAGGTAATCCAGACCAAAATTGTCAATCGAGCCAAAGGAAAGGTCGAGAATAGTATCTTGCACCTTTGCAATTCAGTCTTGATATTTTCGACCCAGGTGCTCGTGAGCTTCTCCATTCCCGCATTGGGTATCGGCATATCAGTATCTCTGTTGACCATAGATGCGTGCTCGTTGGTCAAAGCCTCAAAACTTTCCAGGGTGATGCTGCTCTCGCGACCATTGAATTTGGCAATCTTTTGAAGCACCTCTACGGCTTTGTCATCCCTGTCCCTATAGAGTAGGAATTTTGGAGACTCTTGGAAACGGAACACAACAAAACGTAGGAAGAAAATGGTTACGCAGATGGCCCCAAGGCAGATTAACGTGTATCTCCAACCCATCTATGGTCCAAGTCAGCATTGCTTAATTGAGATACCATTGAAGTCACAAGATATGCATTGACAACGAAGTCAAGTCAATGAGGCCCTATTCGACTCCGCAACAAGCCTCAGGAGCCAGAATACGATGCCGAAGACAAGACAGTATTGAGCTGAAGAGTGTCCTTACGTTCGAAGCCTTCGTGCAACAAGGCGCTCCAGGAGCAAGCGTACTGCTACTACAAGCCGGAAGTGGTTTCTTATCTGCGCCGTTTCCGCAAGAGTACTGTTAGAGATCAGACGGTCAGCCGTTCTGTCCCAAGGCAGGATTCCGCATCGCGAGACTTGTTTGGAGGAGCACCGTTGGCTCTAGAAATGGATCTTGCTACCCCAACTGGGTACTGCTCAGAGAAGAATCGACCCAAAAATACGTACGAACGGAATGAACCCATATGCTATGCCCGATGAAATGACTACGCCAAGAGGCTGAAAGATTGAGAGCATAGCTAGAAGAAAGCGGCGGTTCTATCGGAAGTCAGATTACACCATAGCAGGCGTGATTCGGTCGACACATACTTGAGGGAGGAATTCCAAACATATTGTGGTATCAATCGGAATGTTCCCTCCAACACCAAAACCGACGAAAGCTGTGAGAACGAGGACTCCATTGTAAGTGGATGGCGCTGCAAGGCACAAACCGAAGACCGAAGAGATCAAGACTGTCAGGTTAAAGGCGTACTGGCGGCCTAGGAGGAAGATTTAGTCCAAGACTTAGAGAGTATTTTGGGGCAGGGCAAGTAGAGTACGTATGTACCAATGATGTCTACCAAAACGCCCCAGACAAATGCCTATTTATAATGATCAGCCATTGCGCCCCAAAGCCATTTTGTAGAATTGACTTTACCCCAGCTGTCAGTCCTGCTGAGAAGGAAGAGAAAATGTGGCCGGAATCTTGAGCTGTGGCAACGTCAGCGTGTGAGCTTATAGAGGAGGTCAGCGTTTCGAACGTCCAAAGCCAAATTCCTGTCGCATCGCTGGCTCCACGAGGCCAAAGGCTTGGGCGTAAAGAAGGTCTACAAGGTAGCCGAACCCGCATAGGAAGAAGATGTACCATTGGTATTTCCCCATGCCGTGGGAATCCAATTCACGGTTGACAAGCAGGGCTTTCTTCTCATACAATGTGAGACCTTCCATCTCTGGATCTCGGAAATGTCCATTCTGGTAATGGAGACGGTCCCCTGGTGAGTCTTCCTTGTCAAGCACACATGATGAGTTGAGTTCTTTACCGCTCGCCATTGCGAAATGAATAGATCTGCGATACACGTACTATTTCAGGAAGTAACAGTGGTGTACTGAATGACATAGTTGAAGAGAGGGCGGTGGTTATGAATAAATGCTCTCACTTGTCTTAGTTAGAACGAGGGTCCCCGAGAACGAGGGTCCCCGAGAACGAGGGTCTCCGCAAACGGGAATCGGAGAAATAGATAACGTCTGGATGTACTTACCTTTAGCGGAAGTACTGAAGTGGACGGCACGCCGTCGCTCCAAGATTGCCGGCCCCCAAAGAGCAATTCGAATTGGTTCGGCTGTTCCGTCACTTGATTAATGTTACCTAGCTGCTTCTGCGATCAGAAGAATGATTGCGGCCTAATTGCATGATGACACATTTGCTGGTAAACTGTCGGCACGAGGCACATTGCTTGATCAACGAGGGTCGCCACTTGCTCTCAGATCAGCGCGACATTGCATTAGACTCAATCGCAATCACGACTGGACAAATTTAGTCTACAATAAGTGTTGCGAATAGCTTCCTTGAGCTTCAATGTTGGCTATATAGCGTGCTGCGGCACCCCTGCCATTCACGGCGTTAGAGGTGTTGTTGGAATCAGCCAATAGGAGGCCAGCATGGCTACACTACTAAGAAAGAACAAGGTAGCAAGGATCGTGTGGGTAGAAGAAGGATGATGGATTTCTATGGAGGAAGGATCCTAAGGATCCAGCCAAGCGAGCTATGCTACATATGGCTAGCAAGAAAGACCCCGCAGGAAGCACTTTTCGACTAATACGCTCGCGGGTGCCAGATATATCCGCACATCTAAAAATTGAAAAGTCGATGATAATTTCACAATTAAGAGCTTTAGCTGAAGGTTCTTGCGAGATAATTAGAGGACCCCATCAATACAAATAGATCGCTCCGCAAAAGTTTATCCTTGAAGAGAATAATCATCGAGTTCTCTCAGCTGACAAGGTGGAGAGACTTCTTGGCGTATGCGGATATTTCTGGCACCCGCGAGCTACGGAATAAAATATGTGCTGGAGCGCGGGGCTACCCAGTAGTGGAAAACTTACCGAGGATGTGAGAAGACTGAGAAGACTTGGTGACTGAGAAGATTACTACTGCATAATACCAATTCTATTAAGAGGAGACCCTCTAAACCCCCCTACAGTAATCGTATTTACCCCCATTCGCGCCATACCCCCATTTACGCCATCTTAAATCCGATAATTCCGACGCAACACTAAAATGCCTATCTTTCACCAAATTTATATGATAAACTAGCATAATAGTATTAATCTTTCATTACTATTAAGGCTTCTATATCGGAGAGCCTAAATCACTATTTTTTAAGCCTTATCGGTTTATCATATCTTGAAAAAATCGTTACTACCTTCTCTTCTACTATCTCTTTTTCTACTATCTCTTCTTCTACTACTTCTTCTTCTATTACTTTCTTATCTCTTCTATCTCTTTTATCTCTTTTATTACTTTTATCTCTTCTATTACTTTTATCTCTTTTATCTTATTATTATTATTAAGATAGAGTCTATAATAAAGTCTATAATAAAGTCTTTAATAAAGTTTATTATTATAATAAAGATAATAAAGCGAGATTTAATAATATTAATAAGTCTAATATAGAAGATATAGTAGTCTTTTTCTTAATTAAACTTCTATCTCTCTTTATATCTTAAAAAATAGCTAGTTTAAAGTAATATATATTTTAAAATTACTTCTTAAATTTCTTATTAATTAAATTATTTAATCGTTTCTAAATAAATTTAAAAGTTATAAATTATTCTTTATCTTAATACGTATATTTATATTTAATCTTATCTTTTTTTTATTACTTTATCTTAATAAGATTCTTATTAATAATATAAAGTAAGATATTATTTATTAACGCTAAATTATATACTTTTTTAAGCTTTTCTAATAACGCTAGATTAAGATTATTAATTTTAATTTATTAAATTAATTAATTAACTTATTTTATATTTATTAAAATAAAAGATATAGATAGAGTATTATTATTAAATATAGTAATTATTATTTTTAGAGATAGAGATATAATAAATCTTAATTCTAATATCTTAAGTTCTAATTTATCGAGAATAACTTATAATTAAATCGAAAATAGTCTACTCTTTTATTATATATATATGAGGTAGCAAGATCTCTTTTAATGAAACTGCGTAACAGCTATGTAATTATAAGGACTAGATGCGTAGTTAATAGAATAGATAGATTAGTTACTAAATAAACTAATAACTAAAGAAAGAAGAAGAGAAAAGGGAATTTATAAGTATTTAAGACTTTATTAAGTATATTAGATACTCGCCTTAACTACGTAGCTTATAGTCTAGTAAGCAATATAAGCGAGCCTATTAGTTCGCTTTAAGTACTTCTATTTTTATAATTATATCCCCTCTTAGAAGGTTTAGCTTTTAAATCTTATTATTATTACATTTTATAATTGAATACTTATAAACTTATTAATTTCTTATACGTTATCTATTATTAGCTTAGATATAGCCTAAATTAATATATACTATAATAACATATTTAAACTTCTTATCCTAAGATCTCTTTAGATATATTAATATATTTATATACTAAATCGCAATAATATCGCTATATATATTATTATCTTAATTAATAAAATATAAGTATATTACTACTTCATTACAGTATACTATTATCATTATTATCATACGCTATTATTATTATTATTACTTTAATAATCGTAATAATCTTATTATTATAATCGTGAAAGTCGCGCTAATAAGTATAAAAGCCTTACTTTTAATTTAATTTTTATTCTTCTTAATAATAATATTAATATCGACGTTATTATAAGTAAATATCTAATTCTTCTTTATATCTACTATTTTATCTTTATTTATTTTTATCATAGTATCGCGATAGCGAGCTATATATTATTATAATAATATAATATATATATTAATTAAGATAATAATTAAGTAAGATTAAAGTTATTTAAATCAACTTTATATATAATAAATACCTCGAAGAATACTTTATAATACTTTTTAGATAGTATAAAAAGTATACTAATATATTAATAATAATATTAAATCTTCGCTCTCATAGCCCTACGAGTTATTAAATACTTATAACCATCGTTATTTCTACGCCCTTCGCTATAACTAATAAGTATTTATCTTTACTTTAAAGATATACTTAACTAAAAAGGCTATCAACCTCCTTTATCGCTATTTTAAACGTCATTTATAAGTAAAAGAGATATTAAATAACTAAGAGATTACGCTAATATATACTAATCTCCTTTTACTATCGTTATATATATACTCTCGCATATAACCCTCATATAATTTATATCGCGTCTTCTATTAGCTCGCGCTAGCGTAAATATAAACGATACTTTTATAGAGATTATATATATATTATAAACCCAATTTTCATTTACTAGATTAATATCCTCGCTATAACTCGCACTAGCGAGAATATTTATACTATTCTTTATCGCTAAAATAATATAAATCTTAACTAATATATATTAAAGTGCGTAGCTAATATATATAATAACTCGTCACATTAAGAAACTTCGATATAATATTATTATCTTCGCCCCTTTTTTAACTACTCCTCTCGCTACCCCTTATATTAAGTCTTCTTATTATCTAATAAATCTTCTAAATAAGTAATTACTTCTTAATATAAGATAATTAATAGACTAATACTAAGTAGTATTAGTCTTATATATAATCTTAATAGCTATTTTTCTTATTATATATAATATCTCAACGCTTTAAAATCGACCTATAAGTATCTTAGCTATTTTCGCTAAATCTTTTAACTATAACTTATTCGCCTATCTAGACCCTCTACTACTACTACTTTCTTAATCTTTCTTACTTCTTAATTCCCCTTAACGATTATATTTTTAACTTTATCTTAAATATTAATTTATATAACTTCTTTATTTACTCGAAGTCCTTAATTACGCTTTTAATATTTTCAAGATACTTTATTAATTTTTATAAAACTTCATAAAATAGAGAGTCTTTCTAGTTAATAAGATATTTAATTTCGCTCTTATAAACTCTTTTATCTAATATCTTATTAATCTTCTATTCTTCTTCTTTATTAATTAAAACTATTTATAACTCTAAATTATTTTTACGCGAGTATTACAACTCTAATAGCAATATATAAAATATAAAATAAATTCTTTTATACCTAATAGAGAGGTTTAGCTTATAAATTTATATATTTATTTTCTCTAATACTTTAAAAAGCTTAAGCTATCTATAATTAAGTTTCTTCTTTAATTATAAGATATATATATTTAAGCTTTATAATAGTACTTTATCTCTTTTCTTAAAGATTATAACTCTATAATTATTATTATAATACTTTACTTACTACTTCAACGCTCACTCTTATAATCCTTTTAGATATAATCTTATCTCTTATAATTATTCTACTTACTCTATAATAAATAATACTTCTCCTCTTAAGATTCTATCTTTAGAAGTATTTTCTAAATCTACTATATATTTTATTAATAAATCTTATAAAATCTTACTAATACTCGCGTATACGCTATTATTATATATAAATATAATTATTAATAAGATTTTAGACTAGTTATTCTACTTATAATTATAATATACTTATAGATAATATTCTAATATCTAATTTTATCTCTTAATCTAATTATTAATTTAAGAATAAAATGTAATACTTAATTTACGCTTCGTATCTAGATATTAATATAGCGTTATTTAAAACTTACTTATAAATAAAGAGCCTCGATTTAAAATTAAGTTATATATTATATCGCGTAGTAATATAAACTCTTATTATAAAATATTAATAAGGCTATTAGCCTTTAAATTCTTAATAGTTATTATATATATTATATACTTAATTAGCTTATCTATTAAGATTAAGATAATATTATAAATCTTATTAATATACGAATCTCTTATAGATAGTAGATTTATAATAAAATCTAATATTATAATAT